CACTGTGTCAGGAAGCGAGCCAACCTAAAGTCCAACTCCAAGGATTTTATTGCCCCCCTCCCCCACGCACCCTATCATGGTCGGCTACCCCTGAGCTCCACCCAAATCGGATTCGACTTCAAGCAGAAAGAGAGAAAAAACTGTCAGAAGGAAGCCAAACCATCGGCGGCATGTTACTTTGCTGCATTCAGAATTCAGAGTCCAGTCATGCATTATGAATGAATGGGTTTCCAATGGTAACCGGGAGCGGGGCACCCAACCCGGGTTTCGCTCTCTGAGGACAGGGTGGGGGTTGGGTTGCATCGCACACCCTCCTCCACCCTACGGTAGCCAGGCAGGAATCCTGTAAATTCAGTATTTCATCCCCGTCCGCATCGTTTTCTATTAGACAAGCTAAGATACCCATTAAAATCCAGTTTTTAAAAATCCAGTCACAACACATAAAAAGCTTGATGCCGAAAATCTTGTGCGACTCTCTCCGTTCTTGTGAACCTGGAGCCTTTGTCTAAGGCTTAGAGTCCAAGCAAGAGTGGGTCTCCCTCCCGGTCCCCGACAGTTACAGAGCATGCAGCATCACCGCGAGAGACCAGTGCCGGGATAGCCGGAGGGGAGAGGGCGGGAGAAATTGCTATTCACCTGGCATGAAACGAAGCCATCGGGGCATTTCTGCAGACAAACAGACTACACAACGGAAGGACTCAACGGAGTTCAATCCTCCGGAGCCTTGCAGGCTGCAGCTCCGCGGGGAATCCAAACGAACAATGCACATCTCTGCTAACAGCTTAAGTTTGGAAGCACCATGCAAAGATACTGGTTAAAATCCCCTACCATGCGGTGCAGCCATCATCAGAAGCCCAGCATATCCTCTGGTCTAGGTAGTGATGTGCCAGCTCATGCACAGAGCAGAGGAGGAGGAAAATGGAGGAAACGAGAGGAAGGTTCAGGAAAGTCAGCCGGAATGTTTCTGGGTCATTAACAAGTGGGAGACCCCCTTCAGCATTCAAACCAATCAATCTCTATCTTACAAGACATCTTTTTCTCACTCAGGGTCTGTTGAAAAGACTGCAGCAAACCAAGCAAAGGATTATGGGATAGGGATGCAGCAGAGAGCTGCAATGAGATTCGTGGGTGGCTTGCTTCCCCCTCTGAGTCAGCAGTCAGCTGTTTCTACGTTCTCGCTCTCGTGCTGGGCAGCCCGGGACTGAGCATCAGAATGTGAATGCAGGATTAACGAAGGGCGGGGAGGCACATACTATTAGTCAGGGCAGGTACCATTCCTGCCAAAACCAGGATAGTGTGCCCTTAGGAAAAGAGGGGCGCAGCGAGAAGAGGTTCTAGAAAGAAATCAAGTCGGTATAACTCACTGCCATTGAGCCAATTGGCCTCAATATGCAAAGTTCAAATGTAAGGAGTGTTTGATGTGCTTGTGAGAACACATACCGTACTTCCTTTCACTAGTTAGAAACAATGGTCTATTTTCTTTTAGCTTCCAAGTAGCTTCACTCACACACACACACACACACACACACACACACACACACACACACACTT